CTGGTGCTCCTGCAACCAACAACTCTCTCTCTGCAAATACAGAACTGTAAACTGATGTATCACCCATTATGGAGTTGGTTGTGCCGATAGTGGAGTTAGTGGTGCCAGTAGTGGCATTAGCAACCAAGTGCAAAGTGCCAAAGGACACGAGATTAGAGCTGACGAACTTATGCTTTTGGGGGAAACCAGTGGTTTTGTCGACGTCGAGACCCACCTACCAGACCTGGTTGACGGACTTTACGTTTTTCGGGACCTTGACGATGGCGAATATGTTGTACGTACCGTTGGAGAACTCGGCGCTGACATCCCAAACGTCGAACGAGTGCTTTCCAGGGACGATGGAGGTGTAGGTGCTGATGTTGTAGGTTTTGACAGTTGGGGTAGAGCTTCTTGTTTTTGAATGTCTGTTAGGTGCAGGTGGTTACTTGTGCGGCGGGTGAGATTAGCAGAGCGCATAAGAGGGAAATGCATGCAGTTTGGAGGAGAGAGAGGGAGAAAGGAAGCCATTGGAGGAGTGGAGAGACGAAGGCTTTGTGGAAAGAAAAAGGGAGATAGATAGGAGGAAAGACCAAGAGACAGCGTGTGTATGTGTCTTTGAGTGTGGGTGTTGGGTTGTTTGGTTCTTAGGTTTCTGCAGAGTCATGGTGGAGGTTGTGGTGAGGTTTCATGATGGTGAGATGGAAAAAATGAAAGAGAACCGACATAACTTTTCGTGTCGTTTCCCACAGATGGCGCCAAATGTTGATGCACAAAATCCGGAGGATCTTGGACCAACGTAAATTCGGCCGTGAATCACACAAACGCACAAGAACACAAAGATGTATCGTGGTTCACCCCAATGTTTGAGCTAAATCCACACTCATGTTGATTATGTATGTATGTGTGGATTATAATAGATCGGCAAGGGAGCTCTCTGTGGATGCAGCCCTTGCCATTTTGCTCTTTGTTTGGCTGAGAGGGTACTGCCTTCTATTATTGTGAGGATTGAATGTAAGGCCGTTTCCTCTGAAGGTGAGGCCCTCTTAATGAGGGTGAGGGAGAGTCCCTTTTATAGAATAAGGGCTCTCCCCTTTTACATTTGTCATGGGCTTAGGGATGAGGCCCAAAGATGAGGCCCAAAGACGAGGCCCAATATATGGTACCAACAAAAGTAGGTAATAAATAAATAATATATTGTTACTTGATCCGCTAAATTTTCCTCATTTCGAATATTACCACTAGCTTGTGCCAAGGCGTCTCTTCACATACTAAACGATTGGCTAAGTATTTTTCAACGACTGGACATCGATTCTTTGGTTCTTTTCCCACCCATTTTCTCAAGATAATTGGTATGAATAAGACTCCACATTTCTCGCAACTGCATCTCATTACCCGTAAGTGAATTATGAGTAATTTCAACCCAGCTACTACACAACGCAACATCTTCAAGAAGCGTCCAATTCGTACCTGCATCAGTAGTCATTTTGTTGGAAAATTTTGGATTGAAACTTTGATAGAAAGATAGGAATGTGGTTGAAAGTAGTTGAGAAAATATGAAATTGTGGTGTAAGGTACAAGATAATGAGAAGGTATTTATAGAAAAGTAAAATCATTTTTTTTTAATTTTTTTCCGGATTTTTATTAATTTTTTACATTTTTTTAAATTTTTTATTCACCTAATTAATCTCTACTGTTGGATTTAAAAAAAATTGAATTTTAACACTCCAGATTGTGCCACGTGGCACAATGGTAACATTTCACAATTTTAAAATGTATTTTTTTTTAAATTTATAACGTCGAATAATGTGGACCGTTGATCTCAGATCCAATGGCTGAAATTAAATAAGGTTTTTAAATTTTTTTTACCTTTGGAAATCTAACGACCCAAAATTTGTTACCGTTGAAATCCAACGGACTAGGGGAAGCCACGTGGCTTCCCCCCCAGTTCCTGCAATCTTGTCTGTCGACGTGCGCTTGAGGCCCATGCGCGTGACAGAAAAAAAATAAAAAAAGGAGCTGACGTCAGCTGTGCGTCAAGAAGCCTTCGGGATGGCAATTCATGCCAGGGCTCTCCCTCGGGCTGGCACATGCTGGAGCAAGTAGGCTGGGCTACTGCCCTTTGTTTTGGGGCCTGTTGATGGGGCTACTCAACACGGTGGAGTTGCTCTAAGTGCTTTCTTTCCAGGTCGTAAGTTATCTAATGAAAGCTAAAGAAGTCTAACGAAAGCCAAGGACTGAGCCATCTAACCAGATAACATGGTAGCTCATGCCACCATCAGAAAGATTGGAAGAGAGAGAGTGATTTGATCTGCCTGGGAGGCACCTTGTCAATTCCCCCCGTGCAGGTTTCCATCCTGAGGAAATCGGCGGCTAAAAGATAAGATAGAAGACCAAACAAGATTGAGAATGAAAAAAAATAAGTGTTATTCTTATACAATAAGAGAGATGCCCCAAGTTGATGAGTTTTGAGTGAATATGGGGGTTTGGGGTTGCGCGACAAACATTTATGCTATTTAAAAATAGTGGCGACTGGCGACTGGCAAGCGAAACTGTTGATTTATTTTATGTGTGATTTGATTATTTGATAGTTAGACGTGTTTCTCTTTGTACATTAATTGGTGGTGAGAAGAAAACAAAAAAAACTATACCATATACATGAGGTTAGGATAGGATTGTCAAATGGAGGATAGGATTACTTATGTTTTGCTCGCAGTATCTCGATTGCTGTTAATGAAGACTTCATCCCTACAATTTTATATTAGTCACCTCTCCCTTTTCTAAAATTGGATGGAATGGAGGATAGCTGTTAATGAAGATTTCAGCCCTAAGCATTTTATTTTAGTCACCTCTCCCTTTTCTAAAATTGGATGGAATGGAGATAGGATAGGAAACGAATGTCACACAAGCGCAGAATTATTCGGGTGTGCCTAGCTGCAACCAAGAAAATGGTTACCACATATGCAGTCCATCTGTTATCGATTTCATCATATGAATAAGCTCAGTCTCACTTTTGTTTTTTTTTTTTTTTTTGGTAAAAAGCTCAATCTCGTTTAATGTCATTTTTGTCAAATGTCATCACAATCTCAATATTCATCGGCACATTTACATAACAAATTACGCTACTTGTTGGTATATCAATAATATTTGGTAGATATAATTAATAGGGGTGTGATATCCACACACTCATTTTTACTTCTCCGACACCTTTTTGATTTTCGACCATCAGATTGGATGAATTGAAGAAGATCAACGGACAAAAATTAACAAGGGGTGTGTGAGAAGTAAAAAGGGGTGTGTGGATAGCACACCCGCACACCCCTAATTGATATAGTGTCCAACTGTCAAAATCTAATATCAATACGGCTTGTCAATATAACATCATTCAAATGACGTAAATATTCGGCATTAATGGCGCGTTTACTAATCCGTAATCAAATTGAGAGGAATTGGATTGAGGGGGAATTGGATTGAGGAGGAATTGAAATGAGGTGGAATCAGAATCAGATTCCTGTTGAAGTTGTTTACTAAAACTGTCAGGAATCGGAGTAGGAATGATGTTGAGTCCATATAAGTTGTTTACTAATTCATTTCAATCGGAATGAAAACTAGGTTGATTACTATATTGCCCTTACATAAATAAATTATTTTCATACTAATTAATTTAATTAAATTCTTAATTAAATTTATATAATAAAATTCATCTATATAAGCATGTACAAATAGGTTTTATTTATTTATTAAAAGATGGCAAAAATGATATTGAGTCTATATAAGTTGTTTACTAATTCACTTCAATCGGAATGAAAACTAAGTTGATGACTAAATTGCCCTTATATAAATAAATTATTTTCATACTAATTAATTAAATTAAATTCTTAATTAAATTTATATAATAAAATTATCTATATAAAAAATATAAATAGGTTTTATTTATTTATTAAAAATGACATAATGAGTGTCAAATGAAGGGCAATGTTGGGATAATAAGAAACAAGTGAGGGCATAATTGGAATAAAAGATGCATTCCTGATTCCCTTGCCCTTAGGGAATTCAAATACCTCACAAAACTAGGGAATCCGGTTCCTCCAATTTCAGGAATTGGATTCCTTGTTTCGTGTGGGCTCCACCACTTTTTTGATTCCTTAATATTTAGTAAACACCGGAATACTCCGTAATCGGAATTCAATTCCCTTTCTTTATTCCGATTACCCTTACGTAAACATGCCATAAGTTCTTTGTTTGCGTCGTTTTGTATATTGTGGTGAATTATATATTTTCGTATGCCTATTTAATCAAACGGCCCATGTACATTGCGCAACTAAACTTGGCATCAAAACCCCCCATGTGCGTTTCTTGCATCACTATTACAGACAGTGTACGTAGGGTCCAATTTTCCTAACAGGATCCTCTCAAGATCCTTTTGGTGAGGGATCTTAGGGATCTGTGAATCGTATCTGTTCATCGTACATCGTGCGATCAGTTTTTATCAGGTATTGTTTATGTTAAATTTTAAATAAAAATATTTAAAATAATTTTTTACCGTACGATATACGATATACGGACACGATTTAAAAATTTTCGAAATCCTAGTAAAGAGGATCTGGCAAGGTTTCAGATTCTTTACCCAATTTTCATTTCGACATTTTAATTCGCAGTAGCTGGTTGGCAAAAGAAGAATAAAATCAAAAGAAACGAAAACTAATAAAAATGACTTGAAAACTTTGAATTTTAACGATAAGGATAAAATAAACAGTACCGAAAACTTTTCGTTAAAATTCTCTAAAAAGAATTATAATTAAGCAGCAGCTCTAACTTTAATGGCGTCTTTCTCTTTCCGTCATGCCATTCTTGTCTTGTAATTCCCTCCTTGTCTTATCCCGGTTCGAGGCCACGCTTTCACGGTTCGCTCTCGTTGTCTTATGGTAAACTGAAACGCACCGTATTGTTTTTTATTAATATTATTAATTATTAATTATTATTTTGTGGGCATATGTTATAAAATAAAAAAAGAAAACAAAAGAAAAGATGAGCGGTGTGAATTATCAAAGACACGCAGGCAGTCTCAGTCGTGTTTCTCTTTCCCGATCACTTCACTTGGATCTTTGCTTTCCCTTTCGCTTTTGTCTTTCCCTGTCTTTGATCCGCACTGCAATTCTCTCCTTTTCTTCCATTTTTCATTTACAATTCTACTTCCTTGGAATGGCAAGGGGAATGTCAATTAGAATGGGAATGGGATCGCATCCTTGATTGATTACTTGAGATTTCATCGTTTCCAATTTTAGAGTGAGAGTGAGAGTAAAACAAACGGAAGCGGTGGTGGTGGGTGGTGGGTGGTGCCTGGTGGCAGTCACCGGCGTCTGCTGCTCCTGGTTTGCTGGCAAAAGGAATGCTGGAGTAGCGAGAGTAGTGAGCTTGTGGTTGGAAGAGCTCAAAACACACCGCTCTAATGGGCTCCGAGCAGAATAGATTCCCTCAACAGGAGCGGGTAATGCTTCTTTCTCTCTCTCCCTCCCTCCCCCTATTACCTCTTTCTCTCTCTAGACTCTATGTTGTTACTTTGCTCTTTGATTAAGAGAATAGATATACAGTGTGTTGCTGGTAATGGGTGAGTGAGGGGAGGAGAGGAGAGGAGAGTGTTACTGTCAGATCTGGGGCTTTTTTTTGCAATGTTTGGGTTTTGTTTTGTGGGTTTCAGTCAGATCTGGGGATGACGTGACTTGATTTGCATCATGTGGACAGATCTGCTTTAGTAAAATATAATTTAGGATGGGCATGTTTCTTGCTCGCCGATCACTTTCCAGTTACAACATCATACCCAATTTTATCTAGCTGCGTCTTTGTCATTATCTCTCATATGATGCTACTGCGTCCTCCCAATTTCTGATTGTTGATTAATTAATCTGAGTGCTGTCATTCATCAATTTCTAAATAATTTTGCCTATAAATTTTTGCTTGGATCACAATCTATCCAACGCATTATACTCCCTTTTTGGGCCTTACCAAGTTTGATTTTCCTTATGCATTTATATGTCCGTTGCTTTGCGTAGTTAAACAGAACGGATGCATAACATCCAGAATGGTTTCTGAGTTTGCTTTTCTTTGAGATCAATTTTCAATCTAACTGATAATGCCCATTTGTATCGACAGAGAAAGAGATGGGGAGGATGTTGGGGTGCATTCTCTTGCTTTCCCTCACAAAAAGGAGGAAAGCGCATAGTGCCTGCAACTCGCATTCCTGAAGGCAATGCATCAGCAAATCAGCCAAATGGACCCCAAACAGTTGGGCTCGCCAACCAAACAACATCGCTAGCTCCTTCTCTTCTAGCTCCGCCTTCTTCTCCAGCATCATTTACAAATTCAGCCCTTCCTTCAACAGCGCAGTCTCCTAGTTGTTTCTTGTCTGCCAACTCACCTGGAGGTCCTTCATCCACCATGTATGCCACCGGGCCATATGCCAACGAAACACAACTTGTCTCTCCTCCTGTTTTCTCAACCTTCACAACTGAGCCTTCCACAGCCCCTCTCACTCCCCCACCAGAGTTGGCTCACTTAACTACTCCATCTTCCCCAGATGTACCGTACGCTCATTTCCTCTCATCTTCAGTAGACCTTAAAAGTACTGAGAAGACCAATTACATTGCTGCAAGTGATCTTCATTCAACATATTCCCTCTATCCTGGAAGTCCTGCTAGTAGTCTCAGATCACCAATTTCAAGGGCATCAAACAATTGTTCATCTTCATCTTTTCCTGAGCGTGATTTCCCCTCACATTGGGATCCGTCAGCTTCTCCTCAAAATGGCACCTATCCAAGGATTGGTTCTGCAAGGATGTTTGGACATGACCCAGTTGGAGCCTCTGTGGCATCTCAAGACTCGAACTTCTTTTGTCCTGCTACATTTGCACAGTTTTATCTGGATAATCCACCATTTCCTCATGCTGGTGGAAGGTTAAGTGTGTCCAAGGATTCAGATGTTTACACTACTGGTGGGAATGGAAGTCAGAGCAGACACAGTAGAAGCCCCAAGCAAGATGTGGAAGAAATAGAAGCGTATAGAGCATCCTTTGGGTTTAGTGCTGATGAAATTATCACCACAACACAATATGTGGAGATTTCTGATGTAATGGAGGACTCATTTACCATGACACCTTTTCCCTCGCATAAATTGCCTACCGAAGAAAGTATGGAACCGACATCTGTCAGTGAAGGACTAAAAGCACATAAGACAAAAACAAACTTGCAGAGTCAGGATAGTCTTAAATCAGAACCAGATCTTGATGACGGTGGACATTGTGACTTGGCCATATCGTGTACTGGATCCGAAGGTGAACTGTCATAACTTTATCTAATTTTCTCTATTTTTCATTAGTATTTGAAAATCATAACAGGTATTAAGTAAAAAATAAATTAATTAATAAAGTTCTCAATTTAGAAAAGTCATTGTTCGACTGCTGGAACAGCTTCTTGAACCTTACTTATTCACAAGCCTCTGATTTATCCGTGTTTTCTTGGCAACATGTTGCAGTACTAGTCTCATTAAAATGTATTCTAGTACATCTCTGACAGCTTCATTCATGCACATTTAATTAAGTCGTCTTCATTGATTGATTTCATTTTCGCCAAAAGAACTGGAATTTATGCGGTCAGTGCCTTTCATGCTGGTTTATTGAAATTTTAGAGGCAAGGCAACTAACATTTACACTATTCATTTTGCAAATTTCTCCAATAACGGCTTTTGCTGTCATGTGTGCTTTTAAAATGGAAGAAAATTGTCAAGGGCAGACAGAGAAAAGTAATCAGGGAGAGTTCTGTGGGATGAATGAGTTTCATCTTACTTGAAGTCTCTCTTTCCCCTTTCTTCCCCCTCTGGTTCCGCTTTTATTGTTAGATAGTAATGTTCCTTTCTTGTATGACTCAGATCACAAATCATGGAGGCAGTCCAGTGATGTCTCTCGATCAAGTACACGTGGAATTCGTATTGTGGCTGATGAAGAGGACATTTTTTCAAAGATGGGGTCATCTAAATTGAGCAGAAAGTATCAGATGGGTCAATCTAGCTCAGATGCAGAAATTGATTATAGAAGGGGGAGAAGCTTACGGGAGAGAAAATGAGAATTTGGGTGGAATGACTAAGAGTAAGCAATAAAGCATTATTAGTTGTTTCATGTGTGTTTGAATTTGATGATGTGTTTTTGCTTACGCTTCTGTTTGGTGTTGTGTGATAGGTGGAATGATCTAACCGATGATGTAACCTGTTCTTTCAGTGGTGTGTGATCGGTCTCTGTGATTGATGAATGCTGTTGCTGTAGGTGAATGAAACAACTGGTACATGTGTTTGGTGAAATGTGGTTAGTTATATTATATATATTATATTCTTGGAACGTGTATTGCAACATCAGTTTAGCTATTGTTCAGGCAGCATTTTCTGTACCATTTCGATGTGGCGTGGTCAGATGATGGGAGATAAAGGGTTTTCGCTTTGAGTAGTGTGTTTTTTTCCTTGCCCAAGGTCCAAAAACAGAGAAAACTTGCTTAAAGCAGGATAAGTAAATTAGCAAGATTATCAGCTATATAGTTGTTTCCCGTGTAGATATGCATCAAAGACGATTCCAATTTTTTATCTAAGTGTAAGTGTCTTGATTATGCACTGTTGAATCTATGCTTGTACTGTTTGTCTGGCTCGAGGTAGGATCATTTTCTGTGCAATTAATAACAATTTTGTTAACCAGTTTGTTCCTCCTGATTGGTGTCCTGATTCCTGAAGGGTATGAATTGGAAAATCAATTTTGAAGGAGCTTATGATTCTAGTAGAGGTGTGTTGGTGGTCTGAGTCTTTTAATTAATTAGCTAGGGACTAAGGACATAGGGACTTGGGGACTTTGGGACATAGGGACACTTGGGGACATAGGGCTAAACTCATTTGCCCGCGAGATTCTTCTTTGAGCTTTTGCATAGCCAACTGACCCTATCTGCTCTGCTCAGTGTGGCTTAGTGCATTGTTTTACATGAGTCCATCACGTGAAGTGTTGTGTGAGCGCTGCCCTGGCGGAGGTGTCAACTCTGCCGGGCGAGATTTACAGAGACATTTCCTTAACACTAATTCTCATCCCACGTGACAGTTAAATGCTGGTTAAACCCTAAAGATATTTATGTCATCTTGACTTGCTTAAGGGCTGGTTTGATATTGCTGTGTTTTGAAAAAAAACTGCTGTGAGAATAAGCGGCTGTGAAATAAATCAGCAGAGTGTTTGGTAAACTTTTTTGTAAAAGTGCTTTTGGAAAAAAAAAGTCTGATAGTGGGTCTTTTCATTAAAGGAGCACTGTAGCTCCGTGTGCTTTGAAAAAAAACCAGTTTTTCAAAGCTGCAAATAGCAGCTTCAGCTTTTTCCTTTGATTTCAGCTTATTCTCAAAGTAGCTTCCAAAATAAGCTCTTTTTTTTCAGTTTACCAAACACCTAAAACCTCCACAGTTTTTTTTCATGAGTGCTTTTTTTTTTTTAAGCACCTCACTCCCAAACCACCCCTTAGTACACTTAGCCTCCCCTCTGGAAAGCCAGGGAAATTCGGTTACTGCATTAACTTATTTTTTTAGGCAGCATGGCGATGGATAAATTTCTCTTTGAGACGGAAATAATATATTAGGAAAAAAAAATTAATTCTTTTGATCTTCTATCCCCACAAACAAAAACAATGAATTGAAATGAAACATGAATTCATTGTTTACATATTTTGCTAAAATCAAACACTAGTCATGAATGTTTTATGTGTTGTGATTTGACTTGTCAAAATACCAAGGTCAAATAAGTTTAGGTTTTCACACAGGTTGTTCCCCATATAAATAGGGAAGTATGTTTTTCTTTGAGTTAACACAAGGCCGTTTTGGACCCTTAAAATAATATATAGATTGTAATTTGGACTCATCGGTATGGATTCCCACAAATTCTAGGGCCGAGCAAGCAAAGTGCTCGGTATGCGTTGTCTCAAGAAAACATGCAACTGGACCTGAACAAATGTTAGTTCGTCACCATGTGTCGACTAAAGAAGAGAGGGGTCAGCTAGTAAGTCATGTCTGTTCGATATAAGTTAACAATCTGTGATTTAATTATATATGCTAATAAATAATAAATGCGAATATAAAAATTAACAGAGTATGAACAAAACGAAAATATAAAACAAACAACTTGAAGATCGAGGCTTGCGTACCGTAATGTCCTTGAAATAGAAATTTTGTCCCTACTCAGTGCTTGTAGTTCTGACGTCTGCTTCACCAGGATTCAACGATCTAAGTTAGAATTCCAGCACCGGAAAACTAGAATTCTGGCGAATTTGTTTGTGGTACTCTCAGTATGCTTGGTATATGAGGATTGATGATTTTCAGTGATCTGAATGATATGTGTTGATGCACAAAATCGGTGAAGACTTTGGTACAACAGAAAGTGTTCAAGTTTGTGACCTTCGCTAGATTGCTCTGGTCACTAGTGTGGATAAGTATGCAAATGGATAGAGACAGGGAAAGCAAACACAAGATGTACGTGGTTCACCCAGATTGGCTATGTCCACGGAGTAGAGGAGTTCTCATTAATTGTGAAGGGTTTACACAAGTACATAGGTTCAAGCTCTCCTTTAGTGAGTATTAGTGAATGATTTAGTACAAATGACATTAGGAAATATTGTAAGAGAATGACCTCTATTTATAGAAGAGAGTTTTTAGTTTCATTCTGACATTGACACGTGTCGTGTTGTGATTGGCTTATGATGTTGACACGTGTTGCGCTATGATTGGCTTTTGATGTCGACACGTGTTGCGCTGTGATTGGCCTCCTGGTTGGAGGGAAACTCTTTTGGGTCCTTGACGGTTTAACGTTGATCGGTGCTCAGTAGTTTCGGGATTGGTTAAGTATGGTACAAACAGTGCTCCCCTAAGTTCCCGAGTGAGAGAAGCTCATCGGTTGGGGACTTGCAAGATCCAAGCCATTGAGTAATCACGAAACTTCTAAGTACTGAAGTGTGGTATCATTTTCACTTGCCTTATCTGTCTCATATGTAGATGTGGCATATTCTCTGGAAGTACTTTTCCTCTATCCAAGAGTGGTATCTTTAACCGATGAAGATGCACAAGGTAATGTAACAATTTCACTTGAAGCTTACTTGTAGTTTCGGGCTTGGTCAAGTGCGATACAAACCCTATAGTAGGAGTCCCCCAAGTCGCCGAGCTAGGAGATTTGCCGAAGGAGGTAACAGACAAGGTAAGCAATCAGACTTCCAAGCAAACAACCTGGATCGAAGGTTTGACTTCGGCTTCCGGTTGATTGTTCTCCTTCTCCTTGTGTCGTAAACAGCAACAAGGATAAGGAGAAGCAAATAGAGAAGAAATGATATGAGATACTTTTTCTTTTGAAGAAGTAACTTTCCACAGGCTTATTCTTGAACTGGGTTGGAGGGTTTTATGGTTTCCTCTAGAGTATAAGGCCGACTCAAGAATTTAAGGGTCAAAACAAGTCCATCAAATCTAGAGTACGTTCAACTCTGATGATATGGGATACTTTTGCTGTTGACAAAGTAGTGGATGTATCGGCACGTGTTCTGTTACGCTTGTCTCCACATACTTCCTTGTATCCTTCTTACTTGCCCTATCTTTTCCTCAGGCAGATGTGGTATCTTCTCTGGAAGCATAAGATGTTGAAGATGAGTACTCGAGAGCAATGCCAGGTAAGTAATCAGACAAGTGTTCTAGGCAGTCAGTTTCTAACTGGAAGCTTGATTCCAAATGATGACTGATTGCTCTCTTTCTCCTTGTCTTGCAGGTAAGAACAAGGCCAAAGGAAAAGACAGAGAAAAAGCATGATATGGGATACTCTTGCTTTTAACCCTGATGATATGAGATACTTTTGCTCTGGTATGGCTTGTTTGCAGAGGTATTATCGGGGGGAAAATAAGCTGAGTATTTTGAGAGACTCTGCTGAGAGTGCCCTCTCGGATGTGAAGAAAAGTTGAGCATTTTTTTTTAATTTGCAGGTTTGCCTGGCTATGGAGGATGAAGGTTGACATAAATAGGAATTGTCCCAACAACGAGTGGTAATGCTGTTCATTTACCCTTCTCGGTCATACCAATGTAGTGAAAGTTGCAAGATTCACGTGTTTTAACTTTGTCTGAGCACTTTGAAAAAGTGGTCTGTGATATCTGGAAAGCTGATGTTGCGTGTGAAGATTGCAGACAAGCTTTATCCAAGGAAATCTAGCTCTTGAAGTTTGGAGAGCGGTGCCTCTTTGGTTTTTGAACAAGCAATCCTGTCGGGGATCTGGCTCTCAAGATTCGGTGGGCAGTGCCACTTCGATTTTTGAGCAAGTAATCCTGTTGGGAGTCTGGCTCTTGAGATTCGGAGAGTTGTGCCTCTTCGATTTTTGAGCAAGCAATCTTGTCGGGAATGTTTTCTCGAATGTGAGTAAAGGTTGGGCATTTTTGCCAATCTGCCTTGCCACGGAGCACAGAGGTTGACACACATAAGGACTTTCCAGTTATCAAGCAGTGGTGTTGTTCCGTTACCCTTATAGGTAATAGTGGGGTAGTTGGACCTTCAAAGTTTTTGTGTCTAAACTTTGTCAGAGATCTTTGGTAAAGTTATCTATGGTACCTGAGAAGCTGATGTTCCGTGTGGGGATTGTCGACATATTTTACTCAGGAAAATCAGCTTCTCGAAATTCGAAGAGTGGTACCCCTTCGATTTTTGAACCAACGATCCTGTTGCCCCTTTCTTTTATAGGAGCACCAATTGTGGGCAAGAGGTACGTTCAGATAGTTATTGCTTGTAGGAATTTTCCCCTTATTTTTGTACTTCAGAGATTTATTGCACCTCATTTCTCCTTCATCATTTTTGAGAATGTCTGACCCATCCGACCATCATTTTGACTTGAACTTTGGTGAAGAGGCCGCCATGCCCTCTCAGGACAACATATGGTGCCCATCCTTCTTATCCCCTACTCGTCCTCTTACCGTTGGGGACTCTATGATGAAGAATGATATGACAACTGCAGTGGTGGCCAGGAACCTTTTCACTCCTAAAGATAACAGACTACTTTCCAAACGGTCTGATGAGTTGGCTGTTAAGGATTCTCTAGCTCTTAGTGTTCAGTGTGTAGATTCTGTGTCTAATATGGCCCAATACCTATTTGCTCGAACCCGCCAAGTTGAATCATTGGCGTCTGAATTGATAAGTTTTAAACAGGAGATCAGAGGGCTCAAGCATAAGAATAAATAGTTGCACAGGCTCGCACATGACTATGCTACAAACATGAAGAGGAAGCTCGACCAGTTGCAGGAATCTGATGGTCAGATTTTACTTGATCATCAGAGGTTTGTGGGTTTGTTCCAAAGGCATTTATTGCCTTTGTCTTTTGGGGCTGTACCACGTAATGAAGCTCCAAATGATCAACCTTCGGTGCTTCCTTCTTCTGGGGTTTTGCCTAGTACTGAGGCTCCGAATAATCACCCTCCGGTGCCTCATCTTTCTGGGGCTCTGCAAACTGCTGAGACTTATTCTAAGCAACCTTTGTGAAGGCTCCCCCTTGTTTGTTTATTTTGATTCATGTATATGTACATATTTGTAACTTAGCAGAGATATCAATAAACAAGCTTTGCTTCATTTCAACGTATTGTGTTAAATACACCAAGGCCTTCTTCACT